CCTTTCGGACCTCGCATGCCTCGTCCTCGCTCAAGGGAAATGGCAAAATATTGAAAAACCTGGGCTTATCATCGGCCGGGGCATAGCCATATACGGTCATTCAATAACTTAGATAGACCTTTCTTGACAGGGTTCCCAATACTCTGAGGGAAGTTAATATCCGGATGCAGTGTTTCATTGTTCTTGGTCCCCTGCGGCACAGAGTAAGCTGCTACTTAGATTGAAAATCACCAAAACGAAATACCATAATATTTTACACTGAAATTCCACATTTTTGCCATTAGCTATACAGAGCAGCTCTATATCAGCATTTTAATGTCAAGCGTAGGTGAAGTTGAGTGCTGTTCAAAGTTTGGGTATTATATCATGATGTTAGGGATCGCTAAGGGTTGGAGTGTAAGAGGGTTTATATTTATTGATATCGGCTAAGGCTAAGGTCCCGAGAATGATAAAAAAAATAGAGAAGAAAAGGTTAAAGTAAAAAGGAAAAATATAACTTCCCAGAAAAGGAGTTAAATATTGCATAGTTGTAATGAGGTTGATTGTACAGAGTATGGTGAAACTATTTCCTTGATCTTATATTTCCCTCCTTAGCCTTTCATTTACCCATTTTATTTTATCCATGTTCGGACATACAGATTTTGCTCCCCTTCTCTCTTTTTCTTTTCTCTTTTTCCTTTCACTATTTTCTCTGTTTGGGGACTTGGGGGGGCTTTCGAGCAGAACCTGATGGCTCCCGCATAACTAACCACCTTCGGTCGCTATAGAGTACCTAGTTGACAGGTGCCGAAGTGAGTACAGCCAAGTGTCAATGCACATTACCACTTGGGCTGGATTCTCGCCACACCGATGGGCCTATTGCGGAGTTCATTAACGGTTAGGGTTGCACGAACTATCGCCGAAACAACTACTCCCTTTCTTCTCCTGAAAGGACGTGTCCACCTTATCCTTCTACACGATACTCAGACGCTGTCACTGCCGAAACGACATCAAATGAATTGAATAACTGACCGCGTCTAGCCGCAATTAACGATCACAATGCTGGTAACCAGTTAGCTTTGCAAGGCCAGGCTCGAGCGGACAAGGCTGACAGCGAATTCTATCCTTAACCCAGCTCTATCAAGCTGCGTATGCGTTGAAGATCAGTCTTCCGAAAGACTAATCGAGACTGTAATTCATTTTTAACCTGTGTAACTCTGGCAGAGAAGTGTTCCGGCCATACAGCGCTTCGGAACCTTTTGTATTGGCCTCGGGGAATGAATGAGAAAAATGAGGCGTTCAACAAACTGCTTGTCCATGAATAGACACTTGACTCGATGAGACCGGGGCGTGCTCAACATTGATTCATGTGTCGAAATACAGTGCACATATCACATTTAGGTAGTTATGCTCTTCGGCTGCGTGGCAGGCATGTCTACTGCTTTCGGCCACTTGGCCGGACATGTCACGGCAGGAAATTTTCTCAACCCCCGCGTCAGTTGTGACATGAAAACAGAGGCCAAAACACTTATCTTGGTGGGTGCGAATTATTCCTTTTTCTTTTTCTTTTTTTCTTCATTAGCGTTCCACCTACTTAGAGCAGTGGATTCCGTCTGAGCATATCCTACGAATCGGGATATTGAACTAATCACGTTTGTGAGCCCAAGCCCGGTCCAAGCTATGAATCCACGGATTTCTTTATGCGCTGGGTTCGAAAGACACTGCGCGGTGCGCGAAATTGACTTGCGCTAGGGCTAATGAAACAAATTTTGCAAAGTCGTTGGAAGCTCTTGAGATTGGAAACACGGCTGTAAAGAATAGAAACTCTCTCGTGGGGTGTCTTTTCCAGCCGTTGCCCCACAGACGCCGCTATCGCCGGATTGACTGACGAGTGACATTGGATCCTTTTGTGGCTCTTTTGGCGCTCGGACTTAGGATGCCCAAGCGTGAGGAGGACAGTCGCGAGGAAGACTAAAAAGAGCCTTCTCTTCCGGTATGGTAGTGTTGAGGGCGCCGATATTTGCCTGCCAAAATCTTAAGAAAATTTAACATGAAGTGCCCATATGGTCCGGGGAATTTAGCAAGTCAACTTCTTTTTTCAATGAGGTCATACATACATTTTACCTGCAAGCTTGGAAGAAATGGCCAAACACTAACCGTGTTAGGCATCACGCCATTTTTGTCTGAGGATGTTCAAATATTTACCATTGATATAAGTCTTACAATAGCCAATAAACCTGACGCTGCAAAATTCCTGGATGTTAATATGTCATTCGCTGGCTTCAACCAAAATTCGGTGTTTGAATAAAGAGAAAGCATTTTGCAGGGGAAGGTCCATCGTCCTATCACAGTCCGAGTTATGTTAGGAATGCACCGGAATCACTTCAGCACATCTTGGGAACGTTCGCCGCTCTCACGAATCAAAATCTGATACTGACCTCCAGTCGGCTAATAACAACACACAAAACCAACAGCCGAGTTTCTGTCACAGCCTAATATGTGGCAACGCTCAAAAGAGAAGAGTAAATGGACGCTTACGAAGGAAGTTCGTGATCAAAGAAGTGTTCATGTGGACTTGCATAGCCCGGTATTCAATAACGCGGGGCAACCAGAGCGTCAGCGCCTTGTGGAGTTTGCAAAAGCTGTGCTTGGAGAGGAGTTTGGAAATTGGAACACAAGCAAAATTGGGCAAAAATGGGGTGTATAAACTTCGTACAGCTCGAACGCTCCTTCAATTGCGACAGGTCCCTCACGAAAAAAAAAAGCAAAGAAATGGAGGCCGTTTCCCTATTTTTTCTTTTCTTTCATTCTATCATTCCTTGGTTCGAGATACGAAATTGTTCCGTCTCGAATTATTGTTGGGGCTTCGCAATGATGTAGGCTTAGCCAGATGTTAAGGCATCAAAGTATATTGCTTGCCTTCGATCCCCACAGTCCACACCGGAAGATTTTCTCCAATTCCCTGACAACTCGAGCTGTATTAGCCTCTCAGTCAGTAATCGGTCACAAGCAAGAAACCCGATGCCCAGAGGAAAATAGGTTCCAGGAACAAGGATAATCCATGGGTTGCCTTTGTAGCAGGACTTAAGATTTGAATCAACTGGTTATATCATGAATTCGCCCGCTACCGCATTAGGCCACCATTGAATAATTCGCTAGTTTCAAATATTGGTATTGGAAGGGTTTGCGTCGGCAAAGGAAAACTTACAAGGCGTCGCTGACCCAGCAAATGTGATTTGGTCTTCCCAGCCAAGTCAACGGAAAACGCCGTTGTCACGCGAACCAACCTTGTTTCTGTGTCTTAGATCGAAGGGCTGCCATGGAGCAGAACCTGTGAGTGGTAGCCGAACTTCTTCGTAAACATCAAAGTTATGAAATATGAAAATAAACCGCTAGATATAGAGGCCTAACCCATCGTATAATTGCCTTTGCAGTGCTATGACAATAAACGAAGGGACAATTGATAAAAAGGTGGAAAAGGTTTATTTGTACTTGAAAACTGCGGGAAAGAGCGTGATAGTAAATATAAGGGGGAAGTAGACGTTGGGACTAGACACTAAGGGTGCCGCACTGATAACTAGAC